TTTAAACCAGGGGATGTTAATAAATATTAATGCTCAACCCAAGAGGCTACCATTTAATTGCCCTGAGGCATGGACTGGGCATTGGGAAATTCCAACTCTTCCATGTGACTGACGTGCATCTGGGTTGAGAACCACAGTCTAGGGAGAAGTGTAGAATGGCAGGAACAGAGAGCTCTGGAGTCAACCACAGCTGGTTTGAGTTCAAAGCTCCCCTCTTCCTCACTCTGGGATCCTGGTTACTTAATCATACTGGGTTGTAATTTCATTTTCTGTAAAATAAAAATAATTCTTACTATTCAGGGTTACAGTTGGTTTAAATATGGAATAATGCTAAAAAAAAAAAAACAAACAACCCTGGAGATCTTCTTCTCTTGACTTTCTTTTCCATAGGACTTTCAAAGGTATGTACCTGTTGTTTGCAGCTTACCTACTATACAGTGCTTAAGAACACAAGTTTTAGAGCCAAAACTATCTGGCTTTGGCTGTCAGCTGTGTTACTTTCTGGGAGAGGAATTTGAAAACAGTAAAATAAATATATATTTTCCCTTTGATATAGTGACCCCTCTTCTAGGGAATCAATCTCAACGATACTCTGACAACAATATAAAAATATAGATGCACACAAGTCAATTATAGCAAGTCCCCTACATATGAACTTTCAAGTTGCAAACTATCATAGATGTGAATGTGAGTTCACACATCCAATCACGTAACTTAGTTCACAGGTCTGACACACACTGTCACATGCATGCATCCTTTACAAGTGGCTGTGTATTCATTTGCTGTACAGTATAGTTTGTGTGAAAAGTACTATAAAACTATTACAATGTAGCACTATATAGCTGATTGTGCAGGTTGGTTATCCAGGCTAGCTTTGTTGGACTTACAAACAAATTGGAATTACAAACGCACTCTAGGAATGGAACTCATTCTTATGTAGGGGACTTACTGTAGTTGTAGCAACTCTTCTAATAAAAAATGAAAACTTGGCCAGGTACAGAGGCTTATGCCTGTAATCCCAGCACTTTGGGAGGCTGAGGCAGGAGGACTGCTGAGTACTTTGGGAGGCCGAGGCAGGAGTTCGAAACCAATCTAGGCAACATAGCAAGACCTCATCTCTACAAAAAAAAATTTTTTTTAAATTAGCAAGGCATGTTGGTACATTCCTATAGTCCCGGCTGGGAGGTTAAAGCAGAAGAATTGCCTGTGCCCAGGAGGTTGAGGCTGTGGTGAGTCTTGATCGTGCCACTATACTCCAGCCTGGGTCACAAAGTTAGACCCTGACTCAAAAAAACAAAACAAAAAATAAATGAAGACTAAGTATTTAACAATAAGGAAAAAATGAGGCATATCTACACAATGGAATTTAACAATGCTATATTTTTTAAAGTGGGAGAAAATATCTATCTATCTATCTATCTATCCATTGTGTAGAGTGAAAAAAGCAAAGTGAAGAAAAATGTGCATAATAATGTACTTTTTACTTAAGGAGGTGACACAAATCTATATCAATGTCAATATCACCAATAATATGTTTACCTATTTTTTAAATTGTTGATATTTTTCAATTCTAATCTTTATTTTTCTTTAATTCACTGATTATGCAGTATAGGATTAATTATTTTTATTTTAAAGATGTGGGGTACAATCCATGGTTAGGTACATATGTAGTCATCATACAGGTAAAGTTTGGGCCTGCCTTTGGTCTCTACTTCACCTGGTTTGAGATCGGGTACCTTTACTGATGTTATGTGGCCCCCCTCCCTCCTTCCCTGGCAGTGTCCCACTACTGCCAATCCCTTTCTTATAGTATTATGACAAATGTTCAGGGTCTGCTTATAAGTAAGTACATGTGGTACTCAGATCTGTTTCTGTGATAGATCGCTGAGTATTATAGACTCTAAATCCATCCAAGTTGCTACAAAGTCCATAATTCTGTGTTTCTTTATGGCTGTGTAATATCCTATCATGTATAGGAATAGTGAAGAAAATGGAGATAAAAACTATGCTTCTTAGAATATAACATGTTTTATAGCTCTGACTTTGGAATATTGTAATATATAATATGTATTTTACATATTATAAAAACAAAAATATATTTTAAAGCAATTTCAAAATATGTTGCCACTGGTGACATGACTATAAAGTAACCATAAATGAGTCTATATCACCATTCAGATATATTCTAATAATAAAATAAACTGCAAAAATCTTAGCATTGTTTTCAGTACTTGATTGTTCTCAAAACTTGCTAATGGCATTAATACTGTAGTACTGATACTACTGTGGGTGCATTGTAAGATAAGGCAAATTAGTAATTATGTCTTTATTGAGTAATTGGAGACTTTAAATAAAAACTTCATAACACTGAATTTGAACTTAACATGTCAGTATAACTAATATTGTAATCTGTACATAAAAAAAAAGTCTCTTAGCTTTTCTTATCAGACTTAGAGACAGTAATCAACATAGAAACAATGAGAATGTCAAACACCAAGATTGTCACTTCTAAATACTACTTTGTACTAATGGAACCAGAGCTTCTGAGAAAAATGGCTGATTTTAGGTCATTAGCAAGAAGTATAAGAAAAGTCTAGAACATCTTGTTACACTACAAAGCTTGGTTAATGGGTATGGGAAGGTTCCTTGCAGTATTTTTCTTTACTTTTGTATATTTGAAATTTTCTCTAATACAATTATATACATTTAAAAAAAGAGTGCAAAATGAGGTGATTACTAAAAGTATCTTGAATCTGAAGAGAAGATTTGAAAATGGATATTTAGAAATGTTTCCTTTGTAGTTTTGTGAAGGAAGAGGATTTACCAATACAAAATTATCACATTAGAAACAATAAAAGTAGAGTTTTCCAATCTGAAAATGATTGCATCACTGGCTTTGAATGTTTTTGTTAAAAATATAAAAAGCATTCTTGTGTAATTAACCTTCACTTGTACCTCACATCTCCATAATAAAATAAAATTAAAAAAATATATAAAATACAATGTCTTTCAATGGGGTTTCCCTAACAATACATTGACACATATAATATTTGAACATTAGTAAAATCATTACATTATTGGTAGAGATAATTGAAAGATTAGTATAATAATTTACAAAGTCAACAATGCAATTAGTTTTTTCTGTTTGCATCTGTGTATCATTTGGAGGCATATTTTTTTAGCCATCATTGGCATTGAAACTAAATATTAAAATAAATTGAACTTAAAACCAGACCATTGAATCAAAGTATCCCATCGTCTCAAACCACAATTTTCAAAATTAATGAAGCATACTTAATCACATTGTGATCACTAAAATACATATGCACATATATAAACATTACATCAAAATGGATCAATGACCTACATTTAAGAGGTAAGCTATTAGAAGAAAGTGAGAAGATCTGTATGAGAAGATCTCTGCTATGACATTGAATATTTGACACCAAAAGCGTTATCAACAAAAGAAAAAATATGTGAATTGAATTTCATCAAAATTAAAAACTTTGTTCATAAAAGAACACTATGAAGAGAGTGAAAAGACAAAACTTTAGAATGAAAGAAATATTTGCAAATCACATATCTGATAAGAATCTACTGTCCTGGATATATAAAAGAATCTTTCAGCTCAACAACAAAATCCCAAACAACCCAATACAAAAATGAGTAAAGGACTCAAGAGATTTGCTTGTAAAGAAGATATATAAACAGCAGACGAGCACGAGATGATAATCAATATCACTGGTCATTAAGAAAGTAAGAATCAAATCCACAATAAATGACTACTTCACATTTATTAGGATAACTAATTAAAAAGATAATAATATCTAGTGCTGGCAAGGATGTGGAGAAATAGAAACACATGCATTGCTGGTGGATATATAAAATGGTTGGCAGCTGTTGAAAACAGTTGGCAGTTCTCCACAAAGTTTAACAGAAAATTCCCCTTCTAGGTAAATATCCAAGAGATATGAAAGCCCATGTCCACATAGAAACTTGTATACAAATGTTTAAGCAGCAGTATTCATAACAGTCAAAAAGTTGGAAACAACACAAATGCCCTTAAATAGAAGAATGAATAAACTAATTGTAGTATATTCGTACAATAGAATATTATTCAGCAAATAAAAAGAAGTCTGAAACATGCTAGAATTTGGATAAACCCTAAAAACATCATGTTGAGTGAAAGGCAGACACCAGAGCTCACATAGTATATAATTCCTTTTATCGAAACTAACAAGAATAGGCAAAACCATAGAGACAGAAAGCAGATTGGTGGTGGTCAGGGACTGGAGCACAGTGCATGGGGAGTAGTTACTTAATGAGTTTGGGGTGCTCTTCTGAGGTGATGAAACAGTTTTCAAACTAGAGAGGTTTGGTGGTTGTATGACACTGTGGATGCACTAAATGCCACTGAAGTGTACACTTTAAAATAGTTGTATGCTATATAAATTTTATCTCAATGAAAAATTACATATGCAATAATAATATGGTACAAGTACAGAGTGTTTTGTAATGTTAAAAGATTAAAAAATTTTAAATATTAAATAGAACCCTTTATCTCATTCTTCTTTAATTTATTTTTCACATATTTTCTTTCATAAATATTGGGTATGTTTTCAATTTAGTTTTAGAGGTATACAGTGTAAACATTTTAGTAATATTTTTCCAGACCTGGGATATCAGATCTAAAACCTGTAGGATGACTCTAACCCACAGATACACTTCGTGTGCTGTGGTTAAATAGTATTTTCAAACTTGTTTTTAGTGCCTTCTTGCAAGTTATGCATTTTCCAGTTCAACACAGTTTCTGCATTCACTAGAGTTTTATATCTTTGGTGATCTAAACACTAATGTTTCTTACCCAGCAATGATCATATTTAAATTTTCAACCTCTCTGCTAGAGATGAGGTGTATCTAAGATAGTTGCACTTAAGTTGTTTTTCTTCTTTCATTCTTCATTAGTAATAGAAATGAAGAAAACAGAGTGCTAGACTTACCCACACAAGGCAGGGAGTAGCCAAGCTGAGGGTCATGGACAAACTGTCGATCATTGAGTCTTGTCACACAGTATAAGTGGAAACAGTCTAAGCAAATCACGTGGCGACAATTGCACTGGAAAACGAGAACAGGGCTCCTGCAAAGATAAAGGAAGATGTTTGCTCTAGTACCTCTATGGATGAAAAGGCAGCATGTACTTTAGAACAATTGCTGTAATCCTGTAGGGTTGCTTGGAGTGGGGTCTGTGTAGACACCTGAGCTGCTGCTAAACATTGAGCTCATATATACCCATGCTACAACTGAAAACTTGGAGGCCCTCTATGAATTACACAGGATATTGATTTTCCTATTTTATATTTTTTACATGAACACATGTGTCTATCAGTTGTTTAAAGTTATTAAAATATTCTCTTTCTGGAAGTTTTCCCTGACTCATAATTTCCAATTAACCTACTAAATCATCCCATCCACTTGTATATATTTCTGTTGATCCATTATTGCATCATAGTATTAATGTCTCCTCTCTAATTAACTGTGATCTTCTTGAAAGCAGATACTGTATCCTTTACATTGATATTCCCATAGCACCAAGCATTGTAAGGTTTTAAATATTTTAAAAGCTTAATTGTAATAATATAGAGAATCTGAACTTTCCCAAAGTCAAAATAAAAACTATGATATCATCAAAGCAGGGATGTTAAACAGTCAGCCACTCACATTTCACTGGCAGATAGAAAAGTAGAATTTAAGGATAAAAGATTATCCTACAGGGATTCTTCTACTACAAGATTTCGTCTGCTGTGCCACCCCATCCCATTCAGATAGTTAATTTCTCAAATTATAGTTAGGAGATTACAAATACTAAAAACTTTGGATCCCTTTAAAACACTTTATAGGAAAATAATCTTCTGAACAACTATTTTTTTTCTAGCTAATAAACCACATGAGTTTATGTCAAACAGCAGACAAATTGAATATATTAGTTTGAGATTGGCCTCAAGGTAATTTAAAAAGTAAGAAAGTTATTGGAGTCTATTTGGATAAGCCTATTTCCTATGTAATGATAACAAAATACAAAATAAACGTGTTAACTTCATACCCAATTCGTAACAGCTAAAATAGCTCTATAAAAGCCTGTTCCCTAGAAAAAATAATATTAAATATTAATATTATAGAAGACAAATTCTTAATAACTAAGAAATTTTCAAAATTCTGTTATCCCATTATTTCAAAGCAATATCTAATGCCAAAAAAAAAGGTGGGAAAGTATCTATTGGTATTTTAATGCCATGATTCTGTCAGTAATCGGTCAACTTAACCTAAGCAAGCGCATACCTAAATGTGTTTATGTGTGTCTCATTTCTCCTCTCAGAACCTCTCAAAGTTCTTCTGGGGCCTTCATTTCTATTTCTAGAATCTTAGTCAACTGGGCACTGACTGTGCACCGAACTTTCAACTTTTTCCTTTCTAACAATGTTACATTTAAAGATAATAAAATATAATGCTTTCCTATTTCTAAACTAAGAGACACCCACATACATGTGCACACACACATCCTTTTTTACTCCATGACCCTATTATAGCTGCTATATTTTACCTTCTTCTCTCACAGCTAAGTTATGTGAAAAGTATTCCCCATTTTGCTTTCAGTGGCAAGACTAAGCCTTTATAGACATCTAATCTGCTATTAGCATGTGCATACCAGAGAAAATATTAGGACATTTATAAAAATGTTCTATATATAACAAAGTTAAAAAGAAAGCTTAGAAATGACCCTGTAGAGGAAATAAAAAGAGAACTTATAAAGTCAAAGCAGACAGCCCACAAAGTGCTGCCACAGTGACCCAGAGACCTGAGATACAAGGTATGCCACCAGTTTCTGTGTTCTTTTCCATACCTATTAGAAAGAGTCCTCTCTCATTTGGTAGAGACAACAGTACACTTGTATGATTCTTCCCTTCGGTTACAGTATTGTCCAAATGGACTTAGACCATCTAGACCAGGGGTCCCCAACCCCCAGGCTGGGGACTAGTACGGGTCCATGGCTTGTTAGGAACCTAACCACATAGCAGGAGGTGATTGGTGGGCGGGCAAGCAGAGCTCCGCTTTCTGTCAGATCTGCAGTGCCATTAGAGTCTCATAAAAGCACGAACCCTATTGTGAACTGTACGTGAGAGGGATCTAGGTTGCGTACTCCTTATGAGACTCTAATGCCTGATGATCCTGCCCTGTTCGTGTAAAAATCGTCTTCCATGAAACTGATCCATGATACCATAAAAGTTGGAGACCACTGTCTAGAAAATCCATGGAACATCAATTGTTCTACTTTATTAATGACATCCTGCTCTTTGGAACAGAGTAGCAAAAAATGGTAAATATATTGGAAACCACGGTATGAAATCAACACTATGCAGCTTATGTAGCCCACCACACAGGGAAAGTTTAGATGTCCAAGGCTTGGGGCATGGAAGTACATATTCTCCAAAATAAAGAACATATTCATCCATCTTACCCCTTCCACCATGGGAATGAAGCCAAAGGCAACTGCAACCCCTGTGGATCCAGGGCTCTGGTTCTCAAAGAGTGAAAAACATCCTTTGTGGACACAGGAAGAGTCCTACTAAAAGCTACAGTTGCACCAGGTCACTTCAATCTCCTTGAACTGAGCTATGAGCAGGAAGAACGTACATAATAGTACACAGGTAACAGATCCCAATCATCAGGAAAAGGAAAAGCTGCTACTACAATGGGACCAGGAAGAATCCAGATGGCATCCAGGTGGCCCAGTGGAGCATCTAATGGTACTTCCCTATGCAATTTTAGTGGCAAATGGACAGGGCAGTAGTTAAGGCTTGAGAGTGCATGGGACCAGAACTTGAGATCCCTTTAGGATTTACTTATTGCAGCAGCTAATGTCAGTAACATTACTGTTACAAAAATTAAAGAGACAACAGAAAGGCTTTTAGAGAATGTCTATCTTGAATAAAAAGTATGAAAAATGAGCACCAGGTAACAGTGGTTTACCAGACAGTGAGAAATGAAGGGACCAGGGCCTAAGACATATAGATGTGGTCAGCATTGCAAGTGGGAACAGAGAGTCATTTGACTCCCTGGAAGGAAAGCCACTGACCAGACACAGTTGTGAAGTGTAACCTGGGATCCCTGATTGGATTAAGAGAGTTTAAACATGGGAAGGGAGTGATGTTTTAGTAAGTTTAACTCTTACCAAAGTTTGGAGAGAAAGTCGTGTTATGCATGTTTTCAATGCCCACTTTGTAAAAGAATGAAATTTACAAGTTGCAGGGAGTCAAAAGTGATAGATGCACCCGGAGATTCTCATTATCCTATCTTTACACAGTCAACTTGTGTGAGTATACATACATACACACAGATATATATACAGATTTAGATAAAGATATAGATTAAAAAATGTTAGTGTTGATAAATATAGATACATAAATATATGCTGATTATAGATACACACCTGGATACATAGATAAAGATCTAGATAGTATAGTGTAAGTCATTCATACAGAATTATCAGTCAGGTGAGATTCTTGACATAATTATGAAGTAAGATTATTCACCTCTTATTAAAAATATTCCTTGCAGTTATGGAAAGTTAGGTAAGGAATAAACATGACACTGGTAAAAAAAAGTTATTAATCACCTGAGAAAATGAATAAAAATCATTCCATGGTTAGATGGCCTGCATCATTAACTTCCTAAGTGCTAGATCAAAGAAGAGGGGGAAGGGCATTTATGAGCACCAATTTTGGGTTAGATCCCCTGCTAGGATCCTCACATACTTTTTTTTATTTCATCCTCCTTGAATAAACTGCCCCTTCTCTTCTGTCCATCCTGTTTTCTCTGCACATTTGTCCCTTCTAGCCAGGACAGTCTTATAGCCAGGCATGGCCTAGTATATTTCTGGTTCTTCTATGCTTAGATACATGCTCTTTACCATCGATTCGCAATTAAAATCTAATTTGGCTTTATATCCAAATCCAAATCCAAAATTTCTAAGTCCAGTTCAAGATTAAAGATCTCCAAGAAGCTTTGGAGTGGTTTAGAACCACAGGATTCCCATGGAACAAGTAGCCACCCAACTCTGAAAGCATCAACGTGAAGAGGGAATTATTGAGTCAGGATGAATCCAACAGGGAAACTGAGCTGAATTTAAAGAGATGGGAGGATTGATACCAGGTCACTGGAGAGAAAAATGGTTTCTGGGCAGCAGGGAAACACAGAAATGTTGACGAATTTTTGGAACAGAAGAGCAATCAGGTGGGCTGGTTAAAAGTGATTTCAGAAAAAGAGTGGAAGAAAATATGAAAAGGGTTGGGACAGAGTAGATTCTGGTCAGGGATAGGGGTGACTCAAGGAAACAAACCTAGCATATGGCATCTAGCGTATGAGATTCACTGAAGGTTTCTGCTATGTTCTCAATGTTTGTGTCCCCCCCCCCAAATGTACATAGTTTAGTCCTCACCCCAAAGTGATGGTATTGAGAGGTGGGGCCTTTGGGAGAGCTCTCATGAATGGGATTACCGCCCTTTTAAAAGAGAACCTAGAGAGTTCCCTTGTCCCTTCCACCATGTGAGGACACAGTGAGAAGCCACCATCTATGAACTGGAAAGCAGCCCTCATCAGACTCTGAGTCTGCCAGTGCCCTGATCTTGGAATTCCCAGCCTCAAGAACTGTGAGAAATAAATACATGTTGTTTGTAAGCCACCCAGTTTACGGCATTTTCTTGCAGAAGACTGAATGGATCCAGAGAGTTTAAACAAAGGAAGGGAGTGATGTTTTAGTAAGTTTAACTCTTACCAAAATTTGGAGAGAAAGAAGCTTGAAGTGTTGGGAACTACTTGGAGGTCATTTTAATAATTTAGACATGAGCTATAAAGGAACTGGCCTACGCTGCGGTGGTAGCTCTAGGAGGCGAAATGAGAAGATGAATGGGAGTGGCATTTTAGAGCAGGATCTGCCAGCACTTATCTTCCCATGGGTCTTTTGTTCCTTTTGACATTCCTCTGTGCTCTTTGCTCAAATTATATACATATAAATGTTAATTGATCAATCTAGAGATGATTTTACCTCCAATGAGCCAGGTTACAGAGCAGTTAATTAAAGGTTAA